CCTCCCCTGCAGCCTGGCGCGCGCCGGCCGGGCCGCACCGCTGCGGGCTCGGCGCGCGCGGGCCATGTCCGCCTTCTGCCTGGGCTTGGCCGGCCGAGCTTCAGCACCCGCCGAGCCGGACAGCGCCTGCTGCATGGAGCTGCCCGCTGGGGCCGGGGACGCAGTCCGGAGTCCCGCCGCCGCTGCCACCGCCGCCGCCGCCGCCGCCCTCGTCTCCTTCCCCGGGGCTCCCGGGGAACTGGAACTGGCCTTAGAGGAGGAGCTGGCGTTGCTGGCGGCCGGGGAACGGCCATCCGACCCCGGGGAGCAGCCACAGGCGGAGCCGGAGTCTCCGGCGGAGGGACAGGGACCGCCGCCGCTTACCCAGGATCCCGAGCTGCTGTCGGTGATCCGACAGAAGGAGAAGGATCTGGTGTTGGCGGCCCGGCTAGGCAAAGCGCTGCTCGAGAGGAACCAGGACATGAGCCGGCAGTACGAGCAGATGCACAAGGAGCTGACGGACAAGCTGGAGGTGAGGACCTTCCGGCGGCATGGGTGGGGAGCTGGGTGCCTGCCTGCCTATCCTACCCGTTTCTTTCCATGCCTAATTCTACCTCGAAGAAAATCAATCGAGCACGGGAGGCAGGAGGGATAGTTTCCATGATCATCAGAGCATCCGTTGAACCCACCTGACTTTCCCACCCAGCTCAGCTTGTGGGTCCATGCACGTCTCCCACCGTTGTGGGCCGTTCTATATATGTACTATACACAGTCGAAAATAGAGCTTACAGTATGACTAATTTATACAGCACTGGGGCGATACTGCACACAGAAATGAGAACATCGAGAAGCATTTAAAATATGCTTCAGGTGTTCGGAGAAACAGTTAATCTCTAATCAGGGTGTTAGCCCAGAGCTTTCCAGTCCGGGCATTATTAAGGCCTCTGGATGCCCTTGTCTTAACTTCCTGGCAGAGAGTTCTGGGAAACAAGTGCCTCAAAAGGAGCTTTATATAGCTTTCAAATGCTTAGGGATTAGGGACTGCAGTTCCATTGCAGAAATCAGAGAAGGCACGGCTCAACATGTGATTAGTTTGGGCTTCAGTAGCTTTGTGTATTTCAGTAGTAGTTTTCTGTGTCCTGGGGTCTAAGCAGCTAAGAGCCATGTTACTTTTAACCACTATTAAAAACATCTCCCCACTCCACCCCCGTGGGGGGGGGGGAGGTCTTGGCAAGATGGTTCAGTGGATAAGGTCGATTGCCCCAATTGGATCCCCAGAACCCACGTGGGAAAAAGAAGAGGATGGCACTAGCAACGTGTTGTCTGACCTACACACACAGACATACACACTCCAGTTAGTAAATAATACTAAGTACATTTTCAAATGAGTAATATTTCTGTCAATTCCACGCAACACAATCTTCTACAACTATGTTTATTGAGTTTTTGCTCTCAGGCAGAAAGAGTCTTGAATGGTAACGGAGAGTACCTAGAAAAGGGTACAGAATGGTAGCAGTTCTAAAGTAGTAGATTTTCAAAGTCAAAAGGAGAGCAGAGTCATGTCTGGTAGTACAGATGTGACCAGGCCCGAAACCAGCCCTCGTCAGGTTCCACTCCACTGCTTCTGTCTGGTCAGAATATGAATGGAGACACACTTCTGCAGTGGGCTTGATGTGTGTCTGTAGTCTAGTCACCTGTCGAGAGTTAAATCAGAAGAAGAAAGGAAACCAGTGAGCAGCCTGTGTCTCAGCCGGCCTGTTATCAAGGCCTGCCAGTTGATGGACTCCTGATACACGGCTTAAAAAGTTGTCTGTGAAGCCTGGGCCTAGACGGCCAGAATGCAACAGAGCGCTGCTACCTTAATGAATTGACTTGTTTCATCTTCACTTGAAGTAGAGGTCTGGAAATAAAAGGGCGTCCCTTTCTTTCCAAGTCGATTCAGTTACATGACACTGTAAGGGAGTACTACCCCGGAGATGTGTGCTGGAGATTTGAAATTCCTTCAGTGAGGGGCTGGAGTGAAGAAACACTGAGCTTGAAAAGAGCGTCCTATCAGTTTGATGAGTGACAGATTTCACGGTGTACAGTTACACAAACCCTGGTCTCCATGTGGCGCTTTCAGTAAAGGGAGGATTTCAAAATTCCACAGCAACAAAAAGGTTCCACTGTAAAGGGATAAATAAACCACCTTTGACATTTTGTAACCGACTCCATGGGGGAGACTGAAATAGCTTAACCTGCTTAAACTATCATTTAAGATGCTATCTCTCAAGAGCTTCACTCTCCTGCAGGTCTGCCTGTGAGTGCCAGTGTTAAACTTTTAAAACTCGGGGGGGTGGGGGGGTGCGGGGGGGGGGGGGGGTGGAGGTTGTTGAGCGGTGTCATACCCAACACTGCTGACCTGGACATGGTGAAAGTAGTTGAGGTTGAGGTAGTAGGTTATACGTCACCTGTACTCACAACTTAAAAACAAAAGCTTGCATTTATTTACCTTGCTCCTTCTATATATATTTGAAAACTCTGATTTTTTTTGACTTTTGAGATAGGGTCTCACCGTGTGGCCCATGTTGGCCTTGATTTCCTATACTTAAGAGATTCTCCTGCCTCAGTCCCCAACTAGCTGGACTACAGGTGTGCAGTGTACCGGACTCTAAATTTTTTTCGTGTACACTTGAAAATATATTCAGTAGTTGCTTGTTAACTGATGAATGTATGTATTTGATGGTATTGAGGATCGAACCACCGCTAACCATGTACTATCTGCCCGTGTTAGTTCTTCTAGGGCTAATTGAGAGCGACTAATTCATTACAGTCTGTTTCACATGATGCCTACAAGTGAATTTTCCCCGTAGTTTATTCTTTTTAGATTTACTCATTTTACTTGTATGTGTACGAGTGTTTGCCTGTATGTACATGTATGTACAAATACCAGATGCATGTCTGGTGCCCACAAAGGTCAGATCTGGAACAGGAGTTACAGATGGTTGTGGGCCACCATATGGGAGCTGGGAACCAAACCCACGTCTCTGAAGGAACAGTCAGTGAGTTTAACCTCAGAGCCGTCTCTCCAGACACCCCACCGCCACTGTATTTTTTTGAACATTAGTTACTGTAATGCCTGTTTAGACAAAATATTTTCTATAGTTTAATGTAGCAACTGTATTTTTAATTAAATATTCCGAAGTAGAAAACTAGTTTACTTTGATAAGGAGGATTTATTATTATCAGACATTGACATCAAACACATTTTCTGACAAATTGGTTTGGAGGTTAGACATGTGGTATGTGTTCTAGTCCCGGGCTCTGTGGGCAACATGGTGGGATCCCGTATCCAAAAATTAATAAAGAAGATTAGTAATGGTGGTCTCAGAGACTGGTTTTATATTGGTCTCATCAAAATTGTTACTCTTCTAATTTTACAACAAACAATCCATCTTCAAGATCTTTTCTGCCTGGTATCTTTCCAGTTCTGTGTGCCACACCTAGGATTTTATTAGTTTTTCCTTCGTATGAAAGCATTTGATTCGTTAAAGGCATATTAATGGCCTTTAATTGTTTAAAGGTCAGCATATGTAGAGATGTCTTCTGGCTCTGCTAGAATATGTTGTTCGTATGCTTAGAAGCCTAGTTGAAAGGCATTTTTGGTTGTCTCTTCTATGGCTATAATTATCTCTTAGGATTTGAAAACATATCTACCCAGGTCCTTGCTAACTTACATACTTTTGTCCTCTGAGAACTATTGTACAGATTTCCTTTTTTTTTTTTTCCAGTAAGGGATGGAGGGAGATGGAAGTGAGTCTCTGGGAGTCACTACTAGACTTGGAGAAAGGCCCAGGAATCCTGACGTACATTCAGTGCTTGCTACTCTAGAGAACAGTTTTTCTCCGGTATTTTTCGTGAGCCATGGCCCAGACTTATGCGGATGGCGTTACTATTTATTTTTGTACAAAATCCATTTCAACAAGTACCTATTTAACTTAGACTCGTAACACTAATTTTTTTGTTTTAAAAGTTGATTGATGGCCAGGCGGTGGTGCCACACACCTTTAATCCCAGCACTTGGGAGGCTGAGGCAGGTGGATTTCTGAGTTCGAGGCTAGCCTGGTCTACAGAGTGAGTTCCAGGTCAGCCAGGGCTACACAGAGAAACCTTGTCTCAAAAAACCAAAAAAAAAAAAAAAAAAAAAAAAAGTTGATTGATTTGTTCTTTTTTTTTAATGGTTGATTTTATTTTTAGAGAAAAATTGGAATCCTAATAGAGTATCCATATTTTCTACATCCAGGTTCATCTTTCTGCCAACATTTTACATTAACGCCATAATTAATAAAGTCCTTACATTTCCTGAGTCTGTACCAAATGTCTTTTTTTTTTCTGTTCAGAATCCCATATTACATTTAATTTTTATGTCTTCTTAGGTGCCTCTTAGAGTTTTCTTGATAAGTTTGGTGTTAATTTTCAAATATAACCCTGGAAAATATGAAAGCACAGGTAGACAGAGACCTATATGTGTGAAAATTCTCCCTAGACTTTACTGGTTAATTTATTTTTAAAGGTATTTATTTATTTATTTATTTATTATATGTAAGTACACTGTAGCTGTCTTCAGACACCCATATGAGGGTATCAGATCTCATTGCAGATGGTTGTGAGCCACCATGTGGTTGCTGGGATTGGAACTCATGACCTCTAGAAGAGCAGTCAGTGCTCTTAACCGCTGAGCCATCTCACCAGCCCCAACTGGTTAATTTAAAGCTTAGATGAAAATACAATTCTAGAAGAAATTTCTTAGAGTAGACCAAAAGGTTGAATTCTGTCCAAAAGGTCAGAGTCTGCCTACCCTTTATCAAAGGCTTGGGACACCTGAAATGGGGAGTGTACCTTCTGTTAAATATAAGGACAGATTAGATCAGTCAGCACCACCTGTCTCAACCCCGTCCTCCAAGTGGATTGAGCTGTTTCAGTTGCTTACATGGGCTGTTCACTAGCAGCTGTTTGCTGAATATTTTTAAGTCTCTCTGTTCTTTTAGAGCACAAGCCTAATTTATCTGGCCTCCCAGTACCACTGTGGTTACTAAGTTCTTGCTTCTGCCTTCTGCTCAGTTGTTTTCATGTCGGGTAAAACTAAGTTTCACACTTTTGGGATGGCAATCAGCTCGTACTTCTTCCTTCTATCTTTGTGAAATTTCTAGAGTGACTAAAACATCCTCGGTTTGGAAAGTTCTGCAGTATCAGGATAACAGAGGACAAACCGTTTACATGCTGGCCAGTGGAGGTTTCTCCCTTGTTATTCCCTCTCCCATATGGTCAGTTTGAATGTTTTCGTGAGCACTGCCTTCGCCCGAGGTGCTCAGAATTTTACATTTGGGGTTGTTACCTTTTAATCTTCAGCAAGTCCTCTCAAGCATGATATATTTTCATGCTGGGGGAGTAGATTTGGCTTTTAGAGATACTTACAAGTCCCTCAGCAAAGTGAGAGGAGTAAGATGACAGGATGGAATGGGGTAATCTTGACATTTAGCCTCACCTCAGGTTTGACAGAGAGGGGCTGGTTCTCTTATGTGACCGTAAGCTGACACTGGAGGTTTCCAAAAGAAACATTCCAAAAAATATGTTGAAAGATAAGAACTTCGGTTAAGAGCGCATTTTCCCAGGAAGAGATGACCGAGTACTCGGAAGGAAGACACTACTAATAACCATACTCCAGCCCTCACTGAAGCTCAGCCTTAGGAAATGGGAACCAAGGGAATATTTTTTTTTTTTTGAGACAGAATCTCTCACTGTAGCCTGGGGTGGCTGTGGCTTCTCATGGCAGTCTTGCCTGAGCTTTCCGGTTGCATGAACCACCACGCCCAGCTTAAGTCAGTGTATCTTGAAGAGTTACACTACAACTTTGCTAAGCTTACCAAGGGATGAGAATTGTTACTTTAATTAGACTCAAGTATCTGTTTGGTATTGGACACACACTGCTTGGTATTGGACACACTTGCCTCTGAATTGATACTTCTCTCACACAAATGCAAAGGTGTGCTTGTTTCCTTCAAGCCAGAGGACTCCTTTTGAATTGAGTTGTTACTTCAGAACGTCTTTACTTTGTCTGTCACACCATTTTGTGTCCTGCACTTAGCATGAAAGCCCATGAGGACAAAGAAGTTCTTATGTCTGTCTTGTCCATCACCAATGTCTCCAGTAAAGTTTCCCTGCCTTAGTAACCACTAATGAGTGGATGAGTCAGAAATCAGCACCCGGGACCTATTACTAATGCGTGGTTTAAAGTTGTCTGACTGGGCTCCAGAAAGGGTTCAGTGGTTAAGAGAACTGGCTATTCTTCCTGAGGACCTGAACTTGGTTCCCGGCACCCACATGGCACCTTGTTACCATCTATAGCTCCAGTTCCATGGATTCCAACACTTAGTCATGCCCAGCACCAGGTATGCAAACCAGGCAATACATACACAAAATCAGGCCCGAAACTGAACCTGCCTTAATACTTTTGAAATGTAGTAGTATATTATATATAAGCTGTGATTTGAAGCACTAAATGCATCAGACATCTTTTTTTGGGGGGGCGGGGTTCGAGATAGGGTTTCTCTGTGTAGCCCTGGCTGTCCTGGAACTCACTGTGTAGACCAGGCTGGCCTCGAACTCAGAAATCCACCTGCCTCTGGCTCCCAAGTGCTGGGATTAAAAGGCATGCGCCACCACCGCCCAGCTACATCAGACATCTTAAATACAAATCAGTTTCCACATTTTCTAGTCCTGACCTTGAACTAGTCGCTTCACGGTTTATAACCATCAAGCATAAAAAGATGGCTCCAGGAGAGGCCTCTTTTTAAAGGGTACTGAGTATTTTGGTTTTTCGGGCTCATTTTTAGTTGTTTAAATATGTAGTTTAATCAAAAGATGACTCGTTAAATTTCAAGTGCATTCCCAAGTCTAGAACCAGGTCCTGCCCAGGGAGAATCAATAGAACATTGTTTCCAGTAGGAATGATGTTTTCTTTGTGAGACAAGTCCTGTGTTCTAGAAGAAGAGAATATTTTTGTAACTGTGAATTGGGCAACATGCCCTGTGTGGCAGGGTGTTTTGTTGTGTTCCCTGTCTGGGAAAAAAAAAAGTGTGAAAACGGAATAGATAAAAGGCTAGGGATTGTCACGGTTTTTTTTTTTAATCTTTTTTTTTTTTGTGACTCCAGCACTTAGAACAAGAGAAACATGAACTGAGAAGGCGATTTGAGAACCGAGAAGGGGAGTGGGAAGGACGGGTGTCTGAGCTGGAGACTGACGTGAAGCAGCTCCAGGATGAACTGGAGAGGCAGCAGGTCCATCTTCGGGAAGCAGATCGAGAAAAAACAAGAGCCGTCCAGGAACTGTCAGAACAGAACCAAAGGCTATTGGATCAACTCAGCAGGGTGAGTCACAAGAATTTAATTATAAAATAGTAAAAGAGAAACCGCTTCTCTGTGCTGCTGGGATATGTGTGGTTGGAGCCATTCTGATCCTCTCCCCGCAGTAGAACTTGCTCAAGTTGGTGATGAGGGAGTCAGATAGACTAGGGAATTGAACTACAGCCTTTGAGTATGGAGCCCAGGTGATAAACAAGCCAGGCCCATGACTAGGCCACCTGTAAGACACAGTCTCTTAACCCTCTTCTCATCTGCACTCGATGATGTATGTCTGCATCCGTCAGCGCCTTAGAGAGCTGTACCATCTTCTCATCTGCGCTCGATGATGTATGTCTGCATCCGTCAGCGCCTTAGAGAGCTGTACCATCTTCTCATCTGGGCTCGATGATGTATGTCTGCGTCCCTTAGAGCCTTAGAGAGCTGTACCACTTGTAGAATGGTTAACCATTAATTCAATGCTTAGAGGTGCTGTCTTTAGCTGAACAGCTTAGGAAAATGAGTGTACATTACAAAAGGAGGGTCCATATGTAAGTTTTTGTCACCACATCAAGTAAATAATAATCCTTACACGTTTATAAGATAGTGTCAGAAGTGTAATTAATTAAGGTCAAGGCCTAATCATTGCAAAAGAGGTGGTTGACAGTTGAGTGACCAGAAATCTAATTTCTTTTTTTTTTTTTTTAAGATTTATTTATTTTATATATGTGAGTACACTCACTGTAGCTGTCCTCAGACACCAGAAGAGGGCATCAGATCCCATTACAGATGGTTGAGAGCCACCTTGTGGTTGCTGGGAATTGAACTCAGGACCTCCGGAAGATCAGTCAGTGTTCCTAACCATTGAGCCATCTCTCCAGCCCATTACCAGAAATCTAATTTTTATTTTTATTTTTTAATTTTATTTATTTTTTATTTTTTTGGTTTTTCGAGACAGGATCTCTCTGTGTAGCCCTGGCTGTCCTGGAACTCACTCTGTAGACCAGGCTTGCCTTGAACTCAGAAATCCGCCTGCCTCTGCCTCCCAAGTGCTGGGATTAAAGGTGTGTGCCACCACTGCCTGGCCAAATTCACATTTTTTAAACGTCAATTAAGACATGCTAAAGCCAAGTGGTTGTGGCACACATCTTTAATCCCAGCACTTGGGAGGCAGAGGCAGGCGGATTTCTGAGTTGGAGGCCAGTCTGGTCTATAGAGCAAGTTCTAAGATAGCCAGGGCTACACAGAGAAACTCTGTCTCAAACAAACAAACAAAACCATAAAGACATGGGTTTACTATTGCACCTCAGTCCTTCTTGTAGGTTAAAAATAAAACTAGCTGTTCTGTAGGTTCTAGGAAAACTGTGGCCTCTTGTCCCAGTCCTGATCCTGTGCCTTCTGTGGTCCTGGAGACAGGCTAAAGGCAGCTGTGGTAAATCCCCAGATCTTGCACTAGGGTGACAGTTGACTGCTCAGATGGTATTTGTTGATTACATCACAGTTGCTTGCTTTTCTTTGGGATTGTGAGACAGGAGTGAGTATCTTCCTGACTTCTAAAGAAGTGTGAGCTAAATACCGTTAGTGGGGAAAGAGGAAGAAAACAGATGATACCTGGTAACTTGAAAAACTGCAACTTGGCAGAGAAATCCCAGCCAATCTGAGAAAGCTGAGGATACAGCAGTAGGGAGGGCCAAATAGCTTCCCTGATGTCATGGAAGTCACCCTTCTCTCTCTGTCACCCCGGATCAGTGGTAGAGAGAGTATTGGTAGTCCAGAAGGCATTTCACGGGCCAGCTTATAGCAGCATTTCTGGATCAGCTCTGAAACCCTTTTTAGTAACTGGGAAGGGAATCTCTACCCTTGTAAAAATTTTATAGGTTTTTGAGTCTTTCATTCATTATTCATGAAAGATTAACCAGAGAAGTCTGGCCAGATTGCTTTATTTGTTTAAAAACATTTAATGCAATCCTGAGCAAGTGTTTCGAATGAAATTTATGTAATGGAATTCCAAATTGAAAAATGAAAAAAGAAAGAAAAGAGCAAACAAAGGGAAATTAAATTTTCTTGGGCCAAATTCATTCGACAACCTTGCTGTTCTGTGATCTGGTGAGAGACAGGTGAGCAAGATGGAGGAAGTCAGAAAACAGAGGCTAACGTGCTCTGGCGCAGAACTTGGGATTGACTTTGCTCTTTGTTTGTGCCTCAGTTTCCTTAACTTTAAAGTGAAGTTAAAATCTGTGCCACAGACAAGTACTGTTGAAGTGTGGGCAGTGGGTATAGCTCAGTGGTGGAGTGCTTGCCTGGCTCGCCAGAGAGGCCCCGTGTTTACTTTCTACTGCCATGCTTCTCAGCCCTGTGGGTTATGACTGCTCTGGGGCCCAACGCCCTTTCACAGGGGTTGCCTAAGACGGTCAGAAAACACTGGAATTTACGTCATGGAATATCGAGGAGATTTATGGTTGGGATCAGCCCAGCATGGGGAACTGTATTGAAGGGTTGCAGCGTTAGGAAGGGTGGGAACCAGTGCTCTGGGAAGAGGAGGCCGAGGAGAACGCAGTGTGTCTGTGGTGCTCTGCACATGCAGGTGCAGACTGTTTACTAAAGCAGCGTCTTTAGGGTTGCCCTGTTGTCTGCTTTCTGTAGAAAGTCCTGATGAAGTGCTTCCAGATATTTCCACTAGATCTAGATTCTTGTTATCCTCTCCTGGCCTTGAATGTAGGCCCTGGTGGTTCTGTGGCTTCCTCTCCTTTCTTCTTGGAAGCAGGACAAGTCCCTGAGGTTTTCATCAGCAGCAAGTTTAGATTGCATTTTATTATTGTTTTATTAACTGGGCGATCAGGAGCCAGAGGAGCTAAGTACTTTGAAGGGAATTAAATTCTCAGAGGACAAGATAGCAGCCACCAGAAGTGGTAGAAGGCCTTGGGTTTTTTTGTTGTTGTGTTGTTTTCTTTTTTTTTTTTGTTTTTGCAATGAATGTGTTTAATGAAGTTTGCATGATTGCTTTTTTTTCCCCTCAAAGCAGGGCTTCTCTGTGTAGCTCTAGATGTCCTGGGATTCCCCCTGTAGACCAGGCTAGGCTTGAAGTCAGAGATATGTTTGCCTCTGCCTCCCCAGTGCTGGCACTAAAGGCATGTGCCACCATGTCTTTTTATAACTATGTAATAAATATATAGTGTCAAAAATATAGCCGGGCAGTGGTGGCGCACGCCTTTAATCCCAGCACTTGGGAGGCAGAGGCAGGCGGATTTCTGAGTTTGAGGCCAGCCTGGTCTACAGAGTGAGTTCCAGGACAGCCAGGGCTACACAGAGAAACCCTGTCTTAAAAAACCAAACATATATATATATATATATATATATATATATATATATATACACATATATACATATATACATATATGTATATATGTGTGTATACATGTGTATGTATATATATACGTGTATATATACACATATGTATATATGTATATATATGTATGTATATATATATATATATATATATATGTATATTACATGTCTTTAACATATTTCAGTGTATGTGCTTTGGCTACCATAGTCTCCAAGGTTGCTCTTAACAATAAACAAAGCAACAGCTGTATTGAGATGTAATTCATACCCATATATGTTACCATTTAAAAGTGTGCAGTTGAGTGGTGTTTACTGTTTACAGAGTTATGCAGCCATCGCTACTGTCTATTTAGAGAACATTTACCTATCCAAAAGAAATGTCGTAGCCATTAGCAGCCATTTTTGTTATAGTTCAAAATCCCCATGTCTCAACCCCTGGCAACTTTTAATCTACCCTGTTCCCTGTGCTTTCCCTTGCTTTAGACTTTTAATTCAGTGAAGCTCTACCGTAAGTGGCAATTTGTGTGTGACTTCTCTTACTTAGTGTTGTATTACCAGGTTCATCCATGTCGAAGCATGTATCAGTACTTCACCCATGTTATGACGGAGAAATAGCCCATTGTTCTATGTAGCTGTTTGTTTATCCATCCACAAACTGATGCACATTGGCCGTGTCTATTCTTGGCTAGTATGAATGAAGCATTATGAATGCTCATGGACCTATTTCATGTGTACACAGATCTTTTTTAGCTGAAATGGAATGTTACCAGTCTATATCCCCTGAGCTTCTAGTGCCTCATTATTATGAGGAAAGGAATTGATATCACTCTCATTTTACATCTGGGAAAACTTCAGGGAAGAAAGATACATGACTTGATTAAGTTTCTTTCAATTCAGGACTGATTAGATTTTCTGTACCCTCCATTCCAGACTTCTAAGGCGGCAGTTAAGATCACAGGCTTTGAAGCCAGACAGCCCTGGGGCCAAACACCAACCCTGGCATTTACTAGGTGGTTGAATGTAGGAAAGTTATTTTACCTTCAGTGTCCTCCTTTATAGAATGAAGACAACTCTGTTATTATTAACCAGGTCATGCTGTGATGAATAGGTAGTAAGTGTGTAAGGTTCAAACCACAGTGTCCAGTGTGTGGTGAGTGCTTGATAAATGACAGCCGTCCTAGTTGTCCTGTCTCATGTGGAAGATTATGAAGTATAAAAGTAAAAACCATCCCAGGTGTGGTGATGCAGCCCCTTAATCTCAGCACTTGGAGACAGAGGCAATGCATCTCTGTGAGTTTGAGACCAGCCTGGACTACAGAGTTCCCAGGATAGCCAGGAGTACGCAGAGAAACCATGTCTCTCAAAAATAAAAAAACCAAACTAACAAAAAGTAGGAAAACAAAGTTTTTAAATATATATTATTTTACAAGTTCATGAGAGTTTTTCACTTTGATCCATAACTGGTGTGGCTTGTGTTCTTTTTTTTTTTTTTTTTTTTGTTTTGTTTTTTTTTTTTCGAGACAGGGTTTCTCTGTGTGTAGCCCTGGCTGTCCTGGAACTTACTCCGTAGACCAGGCTAGCCGCGAACTCTCGAACTCAGAGATCCGCCTGCCTCTGCCTCCCAAGTGCTGGGATTAAAGGCGTGAGCCACCACCGCCCGGCTGCTTGTGTTCTTGAAATGCAAA